GAGAGAGAAAGAGAGAGAAAGAGAGAGAGAGAGCAAGCACAACGCCCAGATCCTTTCAACAGAGGCCTTAGTATCCTATTCACTTCAAAACATCCTCAAAATACAAGAACGCTATTCTGTCTCTCCTCCTCCAAGCCTGCATCTCTCTCTTCCTCTCCTTTGCCGCACCTCCCCCTCCCTCTTTCCCTCTGATCTCCTGCTTTTCCTTCTCCTCTCCCCCTTTCCTCAACTCTTTGCCTTCATCTTTGCCTGTCTGTTCTCGTTATGGGAGCTCTTTACCTTTCTTCGCCTGCTCGTCTTTTGTTCTTTTCCATCTAGGCTTTTCTCAGCGCTATTTACAGGAAACTAAAGCATAGAGGATGGGATTCGAACCTAGATCCCTGTGCGACACCGTGCGTCGTGAGTGAACGCACTACCTTTCGCACCACGACCATCCCTCCCTTCTTGTTCCTGTCTCCCGCCCACACATCCTCTCTCTCTCTCTCTCTCTCTCTCTCACTTTCAAAGCTCCGTGAATCTCATTTCATCATATACTCGTCTTTATCACCACACTTTTTTTAGCGATCTCTCCCCCTCCGTGCTCTCAAATTGGTGATCTGAGCGCTCCCCCTCTCCTCCTCTCTTTCATCTCTCCTCTCTGTCGTTCTCCTTCTCTCCTCCGTTGTCGCTGCGCCTTCTCTCTCCTCTTCTCTCCCGTGTTCAGAGACGCAAAATTGGATTAGCTGGCAGTGTCTCTATTTAAACCTCTGCAATTAGAGACGCTCGGAATCCGAGAACTCAACGCACCGAGTGCGAAGCATAGACATGTATGCTGGGAAGAATGCTAGTCATATTAAATGGAAAGAGAATGGTAAAACGAGACTGTGAAATCCTGTAAATAATCTACCTGTTTTTTATTTGATAGTAATAATTGCATAAAAGGCCATCTGTTTATTTATATTAGTAACAATACGTTTTATGTAATTAGCAATATGTACTCATTTTTAGGGCTGTGTAGTGACTGGATTAACTGGATTAAATAATTAGATTTTTTAAATGTTGTATTTATACGTGGATTATATTAGTCAGTTTTCAACTATTAGGCCAAATTGTTCTCATTGCTTAACTGTTCTTTTCCGTGCCAATTTTGGCTGGTTAGCATGGTTTTAGTTTCCATGGTGGTGCTGATAACTGTGGAATGTTATACAAATGCGTCAAGTGTTGATTTAGTAATGCAAGTGCAATTTTAACATCTCTAAGGATGATAATTAAATATTTCTGGAGACTCTTTTTTTCTTTGCTTACTTAGTTGAATATCAAAAAATAATAAGTTAATAGCATGTTTCCACTAAGCCTGTTATGGAGAAACTGGCAGCCAGGTGGCGACATCATGCGCACATGTTCTTTACCAGTTCAGAATGGCTTGGTACAGTCGTCTAACTGTGTCTAGAATTCTGTGCCAAGAAAGGTTTGTAAATGTGCTGCACCATACCAGGCTCACGTGTAAATACCGCTGGAAGCATATGGTTTTTAGAACCATTTGGCACAATAGTGAAAAAGTGGATTGACCTTTTAAAATGCACATGATTAGATTACAGTTACTTTTTTAAAATAGATTGTATGATTATAAAGTATACATGCAATGACATAAAATATTAATTTTTATATAGCTTTAAGTTTGAATAGTCAGATCATTGCTGATGTACAATATATTCAAACTCGGTAGACTCTGAACATGGCAGAGTCTGTTTATTAATGTTTGTTCACGTGACACAGGGATTCCAGAATATTTTTGTTTATATATGAGCTAAAAAAAACTTGGATTTAAAATTGTTATTTGAATGATTGACAACCCATTTGCATCTTCACAGTTTTGAGATGTTGGTTAGAGGTCACAACTTCATGCAGGTGAAGAAATAAATCATTTCAAATTTGGGGGTTTCAATGTTTTTATTGTTTTATAATTAATTTATTTGTTTTCAATTACTAGCCTTTCATCAAATTCCAGGTTGAGAAATCCTAGAGCATGTTTACATCATGTTTACTTATTTTCATAATGCTGAAAACAAAGAAATATAACTTGTTTATCAATGATTTTATTCAAATCTATGTTATAAACAAGTTAGGTCAAAAGTAATCCTAAAGTAGTCAGAATAGATTATATAATAGATTTATATATAAATATATATAGAAGACAGAACTGCTACCTATCCAGTACAAGTCTATGCATATGCATATTTTAGTTGATTTTTTTTTCAATTACTCTCTAATGTATTGTTCCATATTTGAACTTATATGAAAAAAAATAAGATAATAATAATTTCACTGTTTGGTACTGTGAATTTCAAACGTCTAAAAGGGCCCTATTCACTGAATTGTTGTGCTGACCTTTTGAAATATTCATTCAACAAGGTTTTGTGAACTGAATCAATTGATTCATTGTATAGAGACAAAGGACTGATTTACCTATGAAACAGACATTGTTATGTCTACCAGAGACTCTCTTGCAAGAAAAGAGAATTACAGGCTGATGACTAGATTTTTGGTCATATGAACCGCTTTTATAATACTTTGTGATTTTGCATCTGAAAATCAAAACTCTGAAAGTGCAACTGGTTTCGGATTTATTTTGGTACTATTTATTGTGTGAAGTTTGGTACATTAAGATATGGTAGATCAAAGTAAATAATAAAGAAATACTTTAATTTATTGGATGAGATATATCACTATTAAAATAAAATACATTTTAAAATACTGTGTTCTCCCCATTTATAATCATCTAGGTGATGTATATCATTTGAGATATAATTTAAGTTACATTTCACCAAAAAATTGTACATTTGAGATGCTTCTCAGACTAATGAGTAGTCACAACTACATGCAGGTGAAGAAATAAATCATTTCAAATTTGGGGGTTTCAATGTTTTTATTGTTTTATAATTAATTTATTTGTTTTCAATGACTAGCCTTTCATCAAATTCCAGGTTGAGAAATCCTAGAGCATGTTTACATCATGTTTACTTATTTTCATAATGCTGAAAACAAAGAAATATAACTTGTTTATCAATGATTTTATTCAAATCTATGTTATAAACAAGTTAGGTCAAAAGTAATCCTAAAGTAGTCAGAATAGATTATATAATAGATTTATTTATAAATATATATAAAAGACAGAACTGCTACCTATCCAGTACAAGTCTATGCATATGCACATTTTAGTTGATTTTTTTTTTCAATTACTCTCTAATGTATTGTTCCATATTTGAACTTATATGAAAAAAATAAGATAATAATAATTTCACTGTTTGGTACTGTGAATTCCAAACGTCTAAAAGGGCCCTATTCACTGAATTGTTGTGCTGACCTTTTGAAAAATTCATCCAACAATGTTTTGTGAACTGAATCAATTGATTCATTGTATAGAGACAAAGGACTGATTTACCTATGAAACAGACATTGTTATGTCTACCAGAGACTCTCTTGCAAGAAAAGAGAATTACAGGCTGATGACTAGATTTTTGGTCATATGAACCGCTTTTATAATACTTTGTGATTTTGCATCTGAAAATCAAAACTCTGAAAGTGCAACTGGTTTCGGATTTATTTTGGTACTATTTATTGTGTGAAGTTTGGTACATTAAGATATGGTAGATCAAAGTAAATAATAAAGAAATACCTTTAATTTATTGGATTAGATAAATCACTATTAAAATAAAATACATTTTAAAATACTGTGTTCTCCCCATTTATAATCATCTAGGTGATGTATAACATTTAAGATATAATTTAAGTTACATTTCACCAAAAAATTTTAAATTTGAGATGCTTCTCAGACTAATGAGTTTTTTAAATTTGTATTTTGCTGACCATAGATTAAGATATTTTTGAAGAATGAGGGCAACTAAACATATTCAGTTCTTCATTTAATTCACATTTTTATGTAAGAGAGGCCACCAAGGATCAACAACTGATTTCTTCAACAGAAGATAAACAGGTCATACAGGTTTAAAACAACCTTATAGACAGTACATGATAACGGCAGCTTAATTTTTGGATGAACTATCCTTTCTGAGGACAATATTCTCAACATAATTATTGCCACAATACCCAACCATCTACTTTCACTGCCTAAATTGTTATAGTGGATAACAATATATTTTAAAGATGCTTTCAATTGATTGAAATAAGTCATAAACTGTGTATAAAGCCCTACATTGTTCTCCAGTGAATATCTGGCAACCACAGCTGGCGGGTCTTTTTTTTTAAACACAACACAGAAACTCAGTCTGAACTGTGAAGGAGTGTTACATGGAATGATCAACATGCGCACATACACACATTCACAAACACAAATGTACTCCAGACACACATATATGCCACAAACACATATACACAACAAGGGATTATCAGCAGTGATCTTCTTCTTACAGACATTTGAACAATAAAATAAGGAATGTATTATATTTAATATTAATATTCTATCATTTTCAATACTATTCAGAATCTGGATGAGAATTTTCTCTGCAACCCCAAAAACAATAAATCAGACTGTTGTGCAGACTTACTGCATTAGCTACTCGACTGCATTCTCAGCTGGATCCATGTCAGCCAATGAAATTGCACTAAATCACAGGGGGCTGATGGGATTTGTAGTTTATTGATTTCTAGCTAATCCTTTGCCATTCATCAGAAAGGACACAGAACGTATAATGAAATCTTAATAAGCGTTGACGGGTGATTATTCCTAAAACAAAAAGCCTGTTATAATGAAATGATGTAAGAATGGTTTGTTTCAAGAAGAGATTTTAAATATATACGCAGCAGCACATCAGCATGAATTAGTTAAAGTACGCTTGAGCATATGTATGAGTTTGTCCGTGGCTAGTAGAGCTAAAAGCAAAATGCAAAAAAACATACAAGACAAAATAATCAAGAGAAATAATGGTACATATTGCAACCGCCCCCCCCAAAAAAGAGTCTGAAAAACAAGACAAAAAGGGAAAAACATGCAAGAAAAATACCTTCGTCCCTCGGTCTGTTCATTGAAGACTCATCGTGTTTTTTTGTGAGCGGACCTGGGGTTAAAGACAAAAAGGGGGGGAAAGAGAAAAGACAAAATTCAAAAAGATTTTACTGCGCTTAAACAAAAAAAGCAAAAAATTCCAAAACAGCAAAACAAGAAAAACGACAAACTAGCAAGAGATCATGTGTCCCACTTGAAAAGAAGAGCCAAAAACAGCAGCCAAAGCAAAGGAATGAAATAGACAACAAACTAAGAGAAAGATAAAGAGAGAAACTGATGGTGGTGTGACATCTGCTAACATCTCTACAAGCAGTTACAACGTTACTGTGTTTTTTTCCCTCAGTTTTCCCTTTCACACTCACTCATTCGTTATATGCCAGGCTTTCAATGACAAATGTCCAGCCTTCTTCCTCTGTGCCCAGAGAGAGAGAGAGAGAGAGAGAGAGAGAAAGAGAGAGAACGCTGTAGCAAAGCTGCGTTTAGTGCAACGGCCCTCAGGAGTCCTCCGTCTTAATGTCCTGTGGGACAGAAACTCCCCCTCACAGGATAAGACTGCTGAAACTGTGTGCTCTCTTTTCCTGTCTCACAAACAAACAAGCAAACGGCTTGTGTAATTTCCTTAAGAAAGCATCTGCCACTGACATACTTTTATAGCTTTAAATGAAGATCTGATCTCTTCACATTTCCGAACAATCTGAGCATATGGTGCAAAGTGGAAATTGAAGTCAAAAACAGGGTTCTGTATCATTTCCCATGGGAAATAATGTGTGCGAAAAAGGCAAAGTTACGTAAAAAGTACTTTAGCATTTGTTTAATTGAAATTGATATAAACTTTTATCTATAATTCATTTCATAATATTATGTTGGAAGACTACCACATGATGCTGGAAGATTTTTGGATGACACTACTATGTGTTGTTTTTGTAAAAGGCACAATATGTAAGATTTATTCAACAATGTTTTATTTATTTTGCTCACTTATGTACTTACACTATCCCAAATGTTTCAAAGAAATTTTTAAATCCAGAAATATAAGTAGTTTTAACTGCTGACATGGACTGTATCATGTGTTGCCAAGCTGATGATATCATACTGAAAAACAGAAGCTGTGGACTGTAGTGTTATAAAAGCTCTGCTGGTTTTGTATCATGTCATGCATGTCTCTCATCAGCCATTGCTTCAGCATTTTTATTTTGATTCAATACGTTTCAGCCTTATTCCGCTTCATACTATCATGATAATACATTTGGAATACCTCAGCTCATCCATGAACATGTGTTCTGCACAAGTCCTATAGTATGTAATGTAATAAAGAGCCACAATTCCTGTGATTCAGACTCAGTCAAAGCATCTTCATACACTTTATAGTTAAACACCAAATACACCTTTGTTTGTTGTGAATACATGCTCTCTACTGGAAAAACTTAAGTGAAACAAACTCAAATAATTTCTAAATGAATAAAAAGATTGCAAACTTGCAATAAATACTAGTACTAGAATTAATATTAAACAGGCCTTCTTTAGATGCTTACCATGGTATTTCTGTATAATTTCGGAATATCATATTAATATTAGTGTACAAGATATTCTGATTATAGTATACTACCATCTGTTGCAGTCAGTAAAAGCAAGGGTGAGAGGATGACATTCTATTTGCAGCTTTTATTTATTTATTCATTCATTCAGTAATAATAATAATAATAATAATAATAATAATAATAATAATAATAATAATAATAATAAAAAGACAATCAAAAAAACAGAATGTAGGTAAAAACAAAATAAAAGCTTTGTAAACATGGGCAAAACAACACTGGACAAAATAATTAAGAGTACCTAAACCAGACACAGGTGAACATAGTCAAAAAGCAAATAGGTAACCAAAGACACAAACTAGAAAAATGAAAAACAAAGCAAGAACTACTCAACAACCAATAAACCATAACAATAAAAATGAACAAAAATAATTATCTAGTAAAATGTTTACTTTTATTTGTATTACAGATTGACACAAATACGCAAGAGCATTTATATGACAAACATGCATACATGACTAAAACCAATTATTTTTAGATGTCACAATATTTGCATTTGATTTATCTGAATATAATTTGAACTAGCTTGAATCAATTAAGATTACTTAACAATAAAATTACACTTAAAAACATTCATTAAGGTAACCAAACTTATCTAAAGATACCAGCACCAGTTTACCACATGAGACATACAAACTAGTTTATTTTATGGAGCACTGAAAAGTGTCATCATTGTTGCTTATAAATTTTTTAAATTTCAGCTTAAAAAAATCTTTCTTTTTTACAGCATAGTTTTATGCACTTTAAGTCATTTTCTTTTCTTTTGTAATGTATATGTAAAATTGACCCATTCAAGTACGCACATACTCATTATTAGAAAAAAGTGAGAGCAACACAAGTGGACAGTCAAGTTGCGTATCAATGAAAAGAGCATTCATTAATTCCCCCCACCTTCAATTCCTTCCAGCATAGGAAATCAAACCTGCAAACTTTGGACACGCAAACCATTAAGCCACAATTGCTTCAAAATTAGTATTTGTAATGTATTAGATTTTGGCGATGCGGTGGTGCAGTGGGAAGCACAATCGCCTCACAGCAAAAAGGTTGCTGGTTTGAGCCTCAGCTTCTTCTCGTGTTTGCGTGGGTTTCCTCTGGGTGCTCTGGTTTCCCCCACAAGTTTAAAGACATGCAGAATGGGTAAATTGGGTCGGCTAAATTTTTCCGTAGTGTATGTGTGTGAGTGTGTATGGATGTTTCCCAGTTATGGGTTGCAGCTGGAAGGGCAACTGCTGCGTAGAACAAATGCTGGATAAGTTGGTGGTTCATTCTGCTGTGGCAACCCCAGATTAATAAAGGGACTAAGACGAAAAGAAAATGAATGACTGATAGATTTTGGTATTGTGCTTAATGCAAAATGGAGGTATGGAGCCAAATCTAGCAGGAACTATAGTCTAAACAAAAAAGTTCAGAGAGAAAAAAGCGGCACCACAACAGTATATCTTAATAAATAAAACAAGTTACAGAAATTAAGTAACTGACTTCTTGTTCACTATATACAGCATGATATATCATTGCAAGAGTTGGTGTAAATACTTGGTGTAAATGCATCTACTGCTAATATCCAATTAAAAACGCTGCTAGTTAAATGCTACTTCTCATTTTGGTTCTCATTCACCACACTTGATCAAACCCTAGTTTAATAAGTGCATTTTAGTAGCTCTATTAGTTCATCTTGTAATAGATTTGTTCTGTCGCTGGCTTCTTTAGGACTAGAGCTAAGAGGATCCAGTGCAGCGACACGCATTAGCATCTGTCGCTAACTCAGGTTAAATGCTAAATGTTTGTGTGGCGACAGCCATTAATGGGTATTATCAGCATGACCCCCAACCCCCTCCCTCAGTACTGGCGGTGGGCCTGTAAGAGACAAGATAGAAATCGTCTCCATTTATTTACCGTTTATCTGCTACACAGGCTCTCCACACCAACAGACCACACGCGCACACACAAACCTCATTTGTCATTGCTGCGTAATCCTGACCCAGTTCATCCAACACATAATGGTCATATATATATATATATATATACATGACTGACAATTCTCTATTAGCAGAATCGATTTTTTTTATTATTATAAATCCTTAAATGACCAAAACAAAACAAAAAACCCTACTTTTGATCGCATTATTGACGTTTTTACAGTCCCCTTAAAATCTATTTCTTTAGTACTTTTTGCATGTTGGTATCAATATTTTAGTCTTAAAGGGACAGTTCAACCTAAAATGAAGGTTTACTCACCATTTACTCTCTTTTAACTGCTCCCAAACCTTTAAGAGTTCCTTTTTTTCGGCTGAATACAAAAGAAGATATTCTGAAGAAAGCTGAAAACCTGTAACCATTGACTTCCATAGTAGGAAAAACAAAATCTATAGAAGCCAATGGGTCTATTTTGTTTTGTGTTCAGCAGATGAAAGAAAGTCAAACTTTAATTTGATCGGAACAAGTGAGGGGAGGTATTTTAGGCTGAACTATCCCTTTAAAAGATCATTTTTACAGTATAAGCAAGTGTTTTCTAAAACATAGACAACATTAGCATTTAGAAAATGCTTTTAAAAACGTACCATTTCTCACTACCGCCAATATGAGTAAATGGTTTTAATGACATCACTGTACACTTATCCAACTATCTTCGGACTAATCGAATGCTATCTAGGAAACGTTCTATCCCCTGAAACACACTAAAGTTTAAAGTCCCCTATTTTGCATTGTAAAATTCATATTTTGCTTTAGGCGTCTCCAACAACAGGCTGATATGCATGCAAAGTCAAAAAACACTTTCATTGTCTCATAATATGCATTTATTTTTACCTAATTATCCCAACGACTTCCAAATGATTTGTTCAGCGACTCATTTGCTTAAAGTGAATATGCTGTGATTGGTCGACTGGGTTCAGTGTGAGACAGAGAAAAACACCCAACACTGCTATGAAGTAACAGAGTATGTCAGAGCCCACTGCAGGAATGCAGTAAAGCACTGCAGTTAAACACCAGCATATTGCTCTACTCTTAATGCTAACCCCAAGTAATAACAACGACACACATTCAGTATTAATCCACACAGTGGCAAAAGTTGAACTATTTTGAAATTTGACTGTGCTGCACTGCGAACAGAAGATAGCAAAGACAAAAGTCAGAGGATCGCGAGTTCAGAAACGCATTTAAATTGCTAAAGAAAGAAGCACGCGCCACATGATTTTGGACACAATATGTGAATAGCCCAAAAAGATTTAACCTGAGAGATACAGTACAAGCATTGATCTATAATAGATAAGTGATTACAAGCTTTACAATGCTTTATTCCCCACAGCTGAATCTCCATCTGTCAGTAATCATCATCTTCACGTCATGATCAGTCCCGTGATTCGCCACACTCTGCTAGTGTCTGAAGGGAAAGACGCGTTCATGTTTTACCGGAACCGGTACTACATATTTGGTGATGCACAGTATCAACATCGTCGTG